TATAATAGTTTATATTTATTTACCGTCCTTAGTAAAATAAAGATTCCTTAAGCGCTATTATCGATAATAGCGTTTATATCGTATCCGTTTATTTAAAATTTAAGTTATAAATATTCCTTATTAAAAAGTATTATAAAATATAAGAACTTATTTATTTTAACTACTTTTCGTTATTTTTTTATAATTAATATATTTAGTTTTTTAATATTTTAAAGGCTAGTGCCCGTCCTTTTTTTATAAACCGTTTATAATTAATTATTAAATCGGGACGCCTTTATTTTTTAATAGATAAATATAATATATTAATAATATTATAAATATCGTTTATTTTTTTATTAATAAATTCTTTCTTTTTAAAAAATAATTTATAATTTCTAAATATTTTAATATTAAATTATATATTTAAAATATATCGGTTATATAGGTAATCCTTTAGGTTTTTAATAAACTAATCTAATTCTCTTTAAAAGTTTATAAATTTTTATTATTTTAGTTACTTATTTAAATCGGCTTCTTTTTTAATAATAAAATCGTTAATATTAAGTAATATCTTATAATCGATTTTTAACTAAATACGTCGTTAAGCGATATTATAAAATTCGTCTAAGTTATAAAGCGATTATTAATTTATTAACTATTTATAATTTAATATATTTGTTGGAATAATAATAACTAGGACTAAACGTACGGTATATTGAGAGTGACTAAACCTTTGTTTAGTTACGTAGATATTCCGACATATAATTAGCTCTAGTCGCGTATATAAATATATTCCGAAACGCTTTCCTTATTATACGAATTTAAAAAGATTATTATAAAATAGAATTATTTTTTTAATTACTAATTTGTCACTGGGATCTATATATATATCCCCCCTAATCTATTTAATACTAATTAATAAATTATATTAGATAATTTATAAATTAGTTAGTATAAAGAGATAAGATTTAAGCTCGTAGATTAAGCCGTGCGAGCTCCTTATGCTTTATCCTTAAATTAAAATTATATTACTTTATTAATAAAACTAAATAAAAGAAGTTTAAAACGACTTTTAATTTTAATTTTTATATAAAGAGAACTCTTTGTTGTCGTTTTAAAGTAGAACTAAATAGAGAATTATTTTTATATAATTAATAAAATTAATAATATACGCTATTATATGATAAATTTAATAAGATATCGTACGATTCGATATAATTACTACTTATTAAGACTATGTCGGTATTATTTTTAGACCTTTAATTATTAAAAGGGAAAGAGATAAAATTAGCCTAACTAGAGATTAGAGTTAATACCCTAATAAACGAATCTTTAACTAAACTAAACTCTAAATTATAAGCGATATGGACATACGAAAACGTTAGCGATAGGAATATAATCTTTTTAAAAAACTAGATTAATATTATTAATTTAGTATCTTAAAATAACCCCGTCGACCTCTATATAAACCTATTAAACCTATAGATAATTACCTATTTCGTACGAACCTTAATAGATATTATTTAACTTAACTTAATAAAAAGATTATTACGAACTTCGCTTTTTAAGGATTTTAAAAGATAAATAAGGGATTACTTCTTTTAAATAAACCGTATTTTTTTAAAAGAATTTATACGAATCTTTAAAAATAATAATCTTTTTATATTAATAAATAAGAACTATATCGATCGATTTATATAACTTATAAATACTTTTAAAAAAGAGTTAAAAAAGGCTTTATAATAATAGAGTATACGGAGATTAATTTTTTATATATCGATAATCCCTATACTTACTCTTCTATCGCTATAAATTATAGTTTAAAAAAAAACCGAATAGATATACGAATTAAAACTTATTAAATTAAATACGATTAACTAATTAACTTTAAGCGAGTTTCTTAAACGAGTCGTACGATAAACCCTACTAAGAGTAAGGTTCTTTTAAAAAATTAAAACTTTTTTATAAATATTTTATTATATAACCTTAGATTAAAAAGAACTTATATTTGTATATGACCTTTTATTAAGACGACCGATTTAAAATAGTTTATATAATTTTATTATAATTATTTTATTTTAAAAAGGATAGAAAAAAGAAAGGAACTATATTAAAAAACTATACGATATCCTTTATAATAAGGTCTAGGTATTTATTAGCTTTTACCGTCGTTTTAAAATTATAAAAAATTAATATTATATAATTTTCTTAAATACATTTACCGATCGTGCGGAAGAGTTTTATTTATATTACATTAGACTAAATAAGAGATAGGATTAGATTTATAATATGCTAAATAGCCACTTTAATATTAATATTAATTATAATCTTTACTAGACCGATTAGATAATACTTATATTCGTATAAATAAAAAAGGAAAACCTAGATAAGATATTTATAGAGGTCCTAAAGATACTTTTAAATAAATTTTAAATTATATAACGTACTTTAAGAGAAGGATATTAAAGAGAAGTTATATTTTATATAATAGTAATTAAAATATATTACGGTATTTTAGAATTAAAATTAACGATAATTTCTTAAAAGTTAATATATAAAGCGCTCTTTTTAAATTTATAAGTATCTATCTAAGTAGTTATAGATAAGACTTTTATATTATATAATATTAACTATATTAACCGCCGCTATACTTTAAACTTTTACCGTTTTTAAAAGTTATTATATAATTATTTAAAATTACTTTTTTTAAAAAAGCTATTTTAAGAATTAAGGAATAATATAAAACTTTTCGTACGATTATTTAGCTTAACGTTTTAATATTAAAGGTTTTTAAATAAGAAATACTTTATATATAAGAAAGTAAGGTACTAGTTTCGGAACTACTTTATAAAAGAACGTAACTAGATTAGAAAATAATTCTTTTAAAACTATTTACGAATATAATAAAATACGTACGATGAGTTTAAAGTATACTTATTAGAATATAAAGGTTAATTAAAAAATACTTCGTACGATAAAGAAAAAGAAAATAATAACGAATTTATTTTAATATACCTTACGATATTAATATTTTTATATTATACAACGGGATAAAATATATTTACTATTTTTAAAATTACTAATACTTAACTTTTTTTATTATACGATACGTATTTTATAACGTATTAAAGGGAATTATAGGATATAAGAGTAGCTAAGTTTTTAATAATAAAAAAACCTTAGTTTTAAATATATTTAAAAAAGTACCCCTGTGCGAAAGTTAATTAGAATTTAAAATTTATAAACGTACGATTTAGTATAATTAAAAATATAACGTTTATAAGGTCGGTTAAGATTAAAAACTTTATTAGACGAGTTATTTACTATATTTTAAAGATTTTAATACCCTTCTTATTTTTATTATAAAATATAGACCGTTTAAGGGCGTATTTTAATAATATAGATAATATTATTATACGACGAGACGGTACGATAATTTTAATCCTAAGGAAATAAGGACATCTATTTTTTAACTTTAATCGTACGGAAATAAATATGTTTTTTATAAAGGGTTAGCTCCGAAAATTATATCGACGTTTTAAATATTTTTGTATAAATCGATTATACCGATTTTTAAAAAATATTAAGTATAATAATATAGACGAATTAATTTTTTAAAAAATTTAAACCTTTTATTATTATTACTAGTTATACGACTTAGCGTTAAAAAAATTTAAGTTTTTTTTAAAAAATAACTATTATTTTAATTACGAAATTATTATAAATATCGTACAATTAAAAGATAAGAATATCCTATATATTATCGATATTAAAACTAGCTTCTAAAAGGTAATATTTTTAAAATTACTTTTTATATAAGGTATTTTAGAATGTACTATGTAAGTATTAGATTTATATATATATAGGATTATTAAATTATATTTTATACGACTTTAGGACGAACTTTATATTAACGGAGTTTAGGGTATAGGTAAAGATTATAAGTATATTGTATAAAGAAATATTAATCGAAGTATATTAAGTAATAAGAAAAATAGAGAGGGTATATATACCTTTACGACGAGCGTACGAAATCCTATTTAAAAAACTTAGTTATAATATGGATAAGGAAACGATTTTTTAAATAGTAATTAAGGCTTTAAACGACACTGCTAGACCTAATAGAATTATATTAACCCTATTAGTTTTTAGAATATATTTAAGGATTAATTTCGATTTACTACCTTTATTAAATATCGTATAACGGGTAGAAATAATTTAAAAAGCTATAAAGATATTTAAAATAATTAAAATAGATATTAAGATTAATTATACGATTAATACCCGGAATAGACCTAATATTTAAAAAGTCTTTTCGTTATTTTTTTAAAGCGATATTTTTATTTAGAGGGAAAACTAAGGATAGATAGGACTTTATAAGGTTATAAATATTAACTGTATAATAATTACGATAGATATAGTTAATAGCCTTACTTAGTTTTATATAATATATATTAAGCTATATTATTAAGAAGAGGCTATATATAAAGACTAAGACCTAGACTAAGGAGAAGTTTAACTATTATAATTATTAATTTAATTAAAATTAAAAGGGAGGCCGAAAAAGAAAATAATATAATAAGGCCCTATACGACAATCAATACGACTTTATTTAATTTAAAAAAAAAAAGATAACTATGACTTAGTTATTAAATTACGATAAAATAATATTATTACGACTTTTAGAGGACCGTATAAAGAATCTAACGTTATTAAAATCGATGCCCTTATTATTTAAAAGGTTTTTATTTTTATATAATACGACTAAGAATAATATAGATTTCTTTATATTTATAAAATTAAAATAGTACGAAAGATTAAAAATAAATTTATAAAACCGATTAAAAAATCGAGATTAGTTATTTAAAAATATAAGGATAAGGAAAAAGAAAGTATTTTTACGTAAATATTTACCGTTTAAAGAATAAATTAAAAATTAGTTTTAATTTTTAATTTTACCTTCGTATAAGATTTTAAAATATAAGGCGAACTACGAGATATTACCTAAACCTATACGTAATTGTACGATAAGCTTAGTAGGACTATTGTTGTTTAACTCCTTAAGGAATTTTAAGATAAATACCCTAAGGGAACGTTATTATATATTTTTAAACTTTTATACGGATTAGCAAAGTTAGGGCTATATTAGTATAAGACTTACTACGCTTATTATATCGATAATCTTAATATAATATAATTATCGTACGACCTATACTTACTTTATACGATAAAAAATTTAAAAGATTTTAGGCTTATAGTAATATAAATTAATAATATTTTTAGTTTTATTACTATACGATTTTTAAAAAAAGAGGAGGAATAGTTTAAATTTTATAATTTTTATACGAAGCTTAAGATAATTTTAGTTTAAGATTAACCGATCGAATTTAATAGAGGCCGTATTTTAATCTTAAATAAAGATATTTTATTTAGTTAGAAAAGATAAATTAAATAGCTTTGTACGATCGATAAAATAGTACCCGATGTTTTTTAATAATATATTATATAGTAAGTAAAAAGGGTATATATATCCTTTATATATTAACCCGAAGCTATATACGACTTTTTAATAACGGCCTAGTTTAAAAAACTAACGCCGGAAAATATAAACGATTTAAATATACGATTATAATAGTAAATTAATAACCTAAACCGAAGGTTAAAATATATATTATTAAATATATTTCGTATGAGTATCTATATTTTTATTAATAAATTATTTGTTAATAACTCTAACCTCTCTTTTTAATTTAGATTTTTAATTATCCTTAGCAAGGAAACTTCTCGTATAACGATAGAATTTAAAATTAAAAAGAATATTATTTATTAAAGTTTTATAAAGTATAAACGTATTATACAAAGCGTTTTAATAAATAAGCTTTATAGAATAATAGCTAGGTTCGATAGTATTATTATTATTTATACGATATTAAATAATATTTTAAATACCTTTATATATCCTAGGATTCTTTTTATTATTTGTTTTAACTCTCGGTTGCTGTACGAATGCTTAGTTAAATTAAGTATTATAAACGAGAAAAGATTTATAATTAATATAATATTATTAAGGGAATTATATAAAAAGAAAAAAATCTTAGAGGTAAAATAGATTAATAAGAAAGATAATCCGTTAGACGCTTTTATAAAGAAATCTCTAAATATAGTATTTAAACGACTTATTTTAATTAACTATTTAAAGATTAAAATTAAAGTATACGTAAATAGGTTAAAAAGAAAGGAAGAATATATTACTAGTCGTACGATATAATTAGTATATATAGAGATTATTTTTATTTCAATTAAAAATTGTTTTATTATTTATATCGTATACCTAAATATATATTTATTTTATCGATCCTTTTTTATTATTCTTTTATCGTACGAATTAAATTAAAAACTTTAAATCCCTTACTTTAATATAATAAAATACTCTTTAGTAATTCTAATATTTTTAATCGTAAAACGACTTTTAATTATATTATAAGGATAATTATTACTAAACCGACCTTTATTAAACCGACCTTTACTAAACCGACCTCTATTAAAACGACCTCTATTAAGACCGCTACCTTTATTATTATTATTATTCTTATATAAATTACGATTAATATACTCGTAACGAGTACTATAAGATTATTAAACGTATTCGATATAAGCTCCGTTTTAATAATTATAAACTTATACGTATTTATAGAACCGAATATTAAATTATTAATATTTTTAAATATAACTTCGTACGATAAAGCTATAAGACTAAATTAAAATAATTCGGAAATAATTTTTATAACGGATAATATAAATAAATAAGAAATAAAAATCCTTATTAATAAGGAAACGTATTTAAATATCGTGCGAGGGTATTTAAATAACTTAGCGCTCTTAATTTTAAAAAAATATTAATATAAGTTAAAAAATAATAAAGAAAAGATTATATAAATATTAATATAAAAAAAGATTATAAAATTATAATTCGGATTAGATTTAGTAAGTAAAATAATATAACGAATACCTTAGGGATCCGTACGAACTTTAATAGCTCCTATTAAAATAATAAACCGAGTATTCTAGTTACTGGGAACGAGTTAGTTAGTAAGAATAAGAGATATATTAACTCGTACGAAGTTAATATAGAAAATTGTTGTTAATATATAATGGAAAAAGCCTTATTATTTAGGTTATTTATGGAATTGATATAAAAATAAGAAAATAGAGGGTTAGAAAGGGGGCAAAGGCTACTTTTATATACCCTTTTATATGAATATTTAAATAAGTATTTATGGAGGTAGTGAATTAATATAAAAGGTCTATATAGGTAATTTATTATAGCTATTTCGGATTAAGTGAATTAGTACGATAATCGTATATATGATTTATTAATAAGTTTAATTTTAATATCGATTTATCCGTTAGTTAGTAAATGACTGTTTTATTTTTATTTAATTATATAACGGATTATTATTATATTTATTTAGGTTAAGGGCGTAAGAGTTTTATTTATTATTTTAAAAAATAAGTAATTATCGTTATACGATAACTTACTTATTTAGTTATTAATTAACTCGATAAGACGATAATTAATTTAACTTAGTTATTAACTTAGGGGATAGCGTACGTTTATTAATAAAAAAAAAAGTTTTTAATATTAAAATAATAATAATTAGGATTAAACGTACGGTATATTAAAAGTGATTGAACCTCTATTTAGTTATATAGATGTTCCGATATGTAACTAGCTTTAGTTATATATATAGATATATTCCGAAACGCTTTCCCTATTATACGAACTTAGGAAAATTATTATAGAATAGAATTACTTTTTTAATTATTAACTTGTCACCGGGATCTGTGTACACATCCCCTTTAGTCTATCTAACAATATTAATATTATTTAAAAAAAGGTCGTAATTTAGTCTTTTAATATTAAATTCCGTAAATATATCGTTAGTAATTTCTTTATTTAAATTATTTAGCTTAATATTTTCTTTAAATATAAGAAAGTTTTATTTTAAACGGAGTATATTATCTTTTATTATTATTTTAAATTATTTATATAACCGTTATTATAGGATAATAAGGACTATTTTTATAATTAAATATTAAAAAATATAAATATTTATTATATAATAAGCCTCGTTTAATTCTTTAATATATTAATAATAACGTTCTTTTAACGTCTAAGGTCCGTATATTAAATATATAATATTTATTTTTTTTATCGATTTTATATTTTAATTAAAAAAATCTTTTTTTATTTTAGCTTTTAATTATTTTTAAAATTATTATTAAAATAGGGCGAGTATTATTTTTATATTTAATTATTTTTTTTTTAATAATTGGTTAGTTTTATAATAACTAATTAAAATATAAATATAGTTTTTATTATAATTTTTTATTATTAAAAAGCGATATTTATAATATTAGATTATTTTATTAAGTATTTGTCGTATTATATTAATAGATTTATTTAAAATCCGTACTTTACAAGCTAAGATCTCGTCTTTTAATTAAAATAGGTCGTCTTTATTTTTAACTATTATTTTTTTTTTTAATTTATTTTTTATTATTATAAAGGTTTACGCTCGGTTAAGAAAATTAATAAATTATATTTTAACTATTTTATATATTATTAATAGTATTTAAATATACTTTTTATTATAATTTTTAATAGTTTTAGGGCGTTAGATTACTTTTTATTTATTTATTATAATAAAGGTCTTATTGAAGGGTTTTTTAAAATACTATTTTAATTATTCTTTATTATTTTAATAAATAAGGTAGTTATCGTCGTAATATGCGGTTTAAAAGAGTAATTTATAAAGTATTTTTTAAAAAGTAATATTGATTTATTTTTTAAGGATAGGTCGTTATTAAATTTATTTAGGTTATTTATAGTCTTTAATTATATATTTTAGTTTATTATAGTTATAATATTTAAATTTTTTTTTTAACGGGATTAGTTTTAATTTATTATATTAAAATCTATAGGTCCGCTATATTATTTATAAATAATAGTTTATTAAAAATTATTATTTTTATTATAACGGTTTCTTTAATTAAAATTGCGTTAAAGTTGCTATTAGTATTTACGTTTTAAGTTAAGTTCTTATCGTCGTTCTTTTTTTTTTTTTTTTTTTTTTTTTTTTATTTTTTTATTTTTTATTTTTTTTTTTTTTTTTTTTATATTTTTTATTTTTTTTTTTTTTTTTTTTTTTTTTTTTTTTTTTTTTTTATAAAAGCGATTATAGATTTTAATTACTAATTTAATATATTAAAAAAAATCTTTTAACTTATCGAGTTTAATAATTTCGTTTTTAATTTCGTTTTTCAATCTTTAATAAAATATAAAAACCTTAATATCGTTAATAAAATTAAATTAAGTATTAAGTCGTCTAAACTTAATTAAATAGTCTTTTATTAATTTAATTTATTAAAATTATAATATATTACGTTTAGTTTATTGTTTTTTATTTAAATCTTAAAAGACCAATTTAAAAACTTTTTTAAATTTTTTAAAATTATAATAAATATTTTATATTTTAATAAAGTATTTATTAAAAATTTCTTTTTTAAAATATTTTTTTTAAAAAAATTCGAACTATTTAAAAGCTCGTTTTTTAAAAAAAATTAGCGGTATATATAACTTTTTTAACTTCGTTATTAAAATCTTTTTAATAAAAGTTTTAAAAATTTTTAATTTAAATTAAGAATCTTTTTAAGGTTTTAAAAGTACTATCGAAAATAATAAATATATTAAGTTTAAGCTTTTATCGTCTTTTAATAAAAGAGGTAATAATAATATTAACGGCGTTTTAAAACGTATTTATTTATTTAATAAGTTTTAAAATCTTTTTATATTTAGTATTAAGTTTTTTAAATATAATATTAAATAGTTTTTATATATAAGCGATATCGTAATTATTTTTAGTTTAGGCTTTTATTAATTAAATAATAATAATATTAAAAAGGTCCGTTAGTTTTTTATTATATTAAATACTTTAATTAATAACGCGGTGTGTTTTAATATATATTATTTTATTAAAAACCGTATCCCTATTAAAGTTATATTTAATATCGGGTATCTCTACGTTTTTTTTAATTTAAATTAGCTCGGCGTTTAAAGCCTAAGGCT